TGTTTTAGGTATAAAAATATAATCATTTAAAAGTTAAACGGTCTCTTTATAATTAAAAAATTTTAACTCCAAAAGAGAAAAAATGGATTTACTCCAAATATAGAGTAAAAAATGGGTTTATTCCACTTTGAAGTGTGTTTTGGAATGGGGTTGGAGATGTCTTTACTCCATTTATCACTCTATTTTTTGTTTTTTACTCCATTGTTTACTCCAAAATAGAGTAAGATTAGAGTAAAACACAATTCTATTTTAGAATCACTCCATTTTAGAATAAAAAATGGAATTTTAGGTTCGAGATGTCATCAAAATTGTTTTAGACTCTATTTAACTAAAGTACTCTTTTACGATTAAATCATTCAACGATTCTGCTATTCTACTTTTCAATAATTACCTTATGTGTTTTTCAAAAAAAAAAAAAAATTATCTTATGTGATTTACGTCTCATACATCATACATGATCATCAAATATCTTCGCGTCACAATCTTTATGAGTTTGACAGCTATGTACTACGTTTATATATTACTAGATTTTTGCGTGCAACGTGAGATTAGAATATTCGAAAAAAGTAATTTTTATAATACACGAAAGAATTTAGAAATAACAAAGATCAAATGGGTATATCTCATATAAATAAATATATTTTATCTTATAAAATTTAATTTGTATGACACTTACATTAAATATAAACGTTTTTTATGTAAATCGAATACGTTTGAAATTAGCAGTTTTTTCAAACTTATTTGAATTCACTAAAACCGAAAGAAACGCGTTAGTATGTAAAAAAATTTTCGATAAAAAAATCAAAAAAATAATAAAAAGTGAAAATGATGATTTTTCGAAATTCAAGCATTAACGTTTGATTTATAAAGTTGTACGTTTATAACAAAATCGCAACTTTAGTTAGAGTAATAAACAATAAAAAATAAGTGTATGATCAATCACATACGGTATTCAAATGGACATTAACACAATTTTTATAAAGTAATTGTTATCGGTAAATGATTTATCGTTAAAAAATTATGTTATATAACATTATATTAAAATTTTACATTTTAGTTTGATTTAAATTTGTTACATGTATTTGTAAATTAATGAAAAAATTAATGTAAATATGTAGAGATTTCCAACATAACATATAA